ATTATTAGCCTAAAAAATGAGTTTGAATAAATCACTGTTTAGATAGTAAATTCTTGAAGATGATTTTAAATCAAATCTTGTGGCAATTTATTATTATTCACAATTTTATTGATCAATATCAAAATATCTATGATGACTTAGTGCCGTCATAGAAAGACAAAATGAATAACTTACCTTCCCACTATTCATTTTTTAAAATTTTGATAAATAAAGAATAAAAAATATTCTTGATGTACAAACGCAAGATATAATCAATATTAGTACACGTAGAGATTTAATATCCCTCACAACCCATTAAATATAGACCTAAGTACTCATGAGGACTTAATGTCCCTCATGAAAAAAATCTAAAATAGATAAGTAAATGATTGTTAAAATATAGTTAAAAGACAAGATAATTAGCTTAAAAACAAAACAAATTATCATCTCTATAATGTTCAATAGAAGGAAAAGATTATGATTTTTGGCAAAATGGTCAAATTATTTCATTCATCTCTATTTGTTAACTTGTCTTATATTTTTTATAGGGAAACCCAGCCATGAAATTTAGAGACAACAAAAGGTCAATATTTGGAATCTTTCCACTAGGTTACACATTCTTTCACACCGTGAAGACAATTTGAAAATTCTTTAACCTTGATCACCAAGAGGATCCCATCACACCATTTACCAAATAAAAGAGAAACAAAAATAACACAAAAAAAAAACTTTCACATTTAACAAATCGGTGCAGGAACATCAAATGATCAATCACAACAAGAACATCCTTATAAGGCTAAAACACGTATAAGTCCCATGGCTTTCAAGTTCATAAAACCAAGACCTGGGTTCAAGAAAATCACATTCCCTTGCAACTAAAGAAGAGGATTTCTAGAATTAATAAGACCATTGCTTTAAGAGTGGTAAACCAAAACATGATTTCAACAAGGCAATATCCATAACATATTCTCCAAAGTTCTTCATACAACAACCAAATGTGTAGCGAGAAGCAAGTTTATATATGATTAAATGACAAAGGAGAAAATTTATCGTGAACAGAAAAAAACAGCAAACCAACCAGAGCATATGAACCTAAAAATTTCCCATTCCATCTGTTTTTTTTTTCTTTGTTGAGACAAACCCTAAAATTCAAAATCTTAAGAACAAATGGCAATTGGAAGACAGAGGGGTCATAGAATGAATGAAGAAAAAAAATGTAATCTTACTATACTTGATAATGTTTTGATGCTCTTTCTTCCCTATCTGTGCTTAATTTTTGCCTTACCTTCCTTTAGCCTTCTAATCCTCACCTCTTCTCTTAAATCGCTCCTCCTTCCTTAATCATCCCCTCTCCTTTTTTTTTTGACCTCCCCCTTTTATATAGCAAACCCATATCATACCTAAGTCGCCCAAATCTATGAACTGTGACTTGATTTGGTTGTTCCTTCCTCACACGTCATCAAATTTCATCTGCAGAGTCAGCCTTTGTCAATATTGTCTTTGATCTTTCCTCTTCTTGCTCTGTTTCTCAATCTAATCTTGAAAGCAGACGTAGGGAAGGGTTGACTGGGGTTCGCATGTGAGGGGAGCGGTGTTTGCGTGACTGACTCTACTTTCTAACCTCTGAGGCGCAACTATAGAGAGACAGGAAGTAAGCCGATGCCATTTCTCCTCTCTGCACGATCAGGGGAGGCTCTATTTTTTTTTTCCTCTTGAAGAAACAAGAGACATGTAGGGACTAAAAGTTGAACATTGCACTGCAGCGTTTAACCTTTCAGTCTAAAAAAAATTCTTTTCTTTTTTATGATATTTATTACTTTTTTTACATGTCATATACTTAATTTAAAATAAAATATATAGAATGAAGTATCTTATTTTAAAACTAGATTTTTTTTATTTTTAAAGTTTAAAAGGAAAATCTTTTTTTTAAAGGTTTTGTTTGATTTGTTTAACTATCAATTTTAAGTTCTAATTTCTTGATTGATTTTTTTATTATTTTTTAAAAAAGAAGATTATCTAGAATAGAAGATCTTTTCTCAATCCCAAATTTTCTTACTTCTTAAAAAAGTATTTTATCTTAACTCTAGATTTTTTTCATTTTAAAAGGAAAATATTATTATTATTTTTAAACTACTTGTTTTAACAAATCATAAAGAAGTAACATTCTAGCTAACAAAAGATTATCTAGGCTAAAAATGTAGCTAAACCCTATTTAATTAAAATTTCTTTTTGTATTATTAGAACTTCATTTTTTTGTTTTATTTATTATTATCACTATATTAAAAGAAAATGTCTGGACAAAATACAGTATTCATATGGGGTCATCATTATTAGCTATTCATGAATTGCCTTTCTTCTTTTGATAATCCTTAGGTCCTTTTGACGCGAACCCTCATATTGGTAATACAAAGGCCTGGCTACTTAGACTTGAAAATTTTATTAGCACACTCTTGATATTTACTAAGCTATTTGACGTGAAGGCTGACATTGGTGATAAAGGTTCCCGATTATTAGGCCTAGTTGGCATTAATAGTGTAGGTACTCAGCATTTTTTTTTGTTTTTTTGTTTTCATTTTTTATAGGATTATTTCCTCTTTTTAACTACTTTGCAAGGTGTTAGCTTTCTAGGTATAGACATGAATAAATATGACAGATATTCCGTGCATTAAGTATATTTTTAATAAAATCTCATGGGATATTGGCAACCTTAAATTCTTTCTCAAACACATAGTTGCCCATAGTAGTTATACAACTAAATAAAATAGTGCAAAAAAGCAAAAATTTCTAAAAATTTTAAAATTTTTAGGAATTAGGCTAATTACAGCATGTAAATTGTTAAGGAAATTACAACAGCATAAGCAATAAAAAATTATCATAATATACCCTCCCTCATAGTTAAATTCCACATTGTCCTCAATGTTTGTAGAAAAGAAAATAGATAAAGGAATTGAAACTTCCCTGGTTTAATTTGCTTTGATGTGACTTTAATAACCTTTAAGAAGCTCCCTTTTAAGTATTATGATCCTGCAATTCATCTCAAAGGGGTTCTTAGTGATCAAATGAAATTTTATGGGGATAATAGATGGTAAAAAACCTAAAACAAATTAAAATAATAAAGAAAAGGAAACAAAAACAAAATTGGATTGCCTCCCGACAAGTACTACATTTAATATCTATAGCTAGACACTACTATAAAAATCAAGAGACGCCTTCTGAGTATGGTAGGAATCATTGTCCTCCTGAATTAGAAGACACCTTCTTATCCCAACCAACATTGATCTTTTCCCTTGGAGAGGGTTCTTGTTAATGAGCAAGGGACTTTTCAAGTTGACTCCTATATATGAATGGTAGAACATTTGTGAGGACTAGTGAGTAGATCTTTAGGTTGCCTTTGTAACTCCCTCCTTTCTCCATTGCTAATTTCCTCCTCTTTATTTTCTAAAGTATGTAAGGGAAGGTCCCTTGGATATTTCTCCTTTTCCTGTGTCACCTGTATGCTGCATAAAGATTTCTAAAAAATAGAGAGGTTGGTAGCTTTAGTAAATTTAAATATCTCATATTTCTCGCCTACTTTGAATATTAATTCTCCCTTAAGCACATTAATTAAGGCACCTCTAGTGGCTAAAAATAGTCTTCCTAATATAAGTGAGACATTCCAATTATCCTCAATGTCTAAAATAATAAAATCTATAGGAATATAAAGTTTACCAACTTTCACTATGACATTCTCAACTACAACATAAGGATATTTGAGTGATCTATTTGCAAATTGAAGAGTCACATTGATCAGCTTGATATTTATTATACCAAGTTTCTTGCATAAAGAATAAGGCATTAAGTTAACACTCGCATCCAATTCACATAAATAATTTTCAATAATATTAGAACTAATATCACAAGAAATAGTGAAACTCCTTGAATCTTTCAATTTGGTGGTAGCTTTTTTTGTAGAATAGTACTACACTCTTCTGTAAGTGTAACCATGGCATATTCTTCTAATTTTTTCTTATTTGAAACTAGTTCTTTGATGTATTTGGCATAGGCAAGCATCTTTGCCAATGCCTCTATAAAGGGAATATTGATTTGAATTTTCTTAAACATCTCAAGGAATTTTTGGAAGCTTACATCTGGATTTTTTTTTGAAGGTGCTCAGGGTATGGAATGGGAGTATATGAGGTTTGGCTTCAGAGGGAGAATGGCCACTTTTATCTCCACTATCAACCTCTTAGGGTTCTTTACCATTCTATATAGTGACTACCATGACTTGCTCTCGTGGATTGACTTCAGTATTGCTTGGAAGTTTATTTTGACCCTTTCCACTAATTAAGCTAGCTAAATTGTTTATTTGAGTGTTCATATTCCTCAAAGAATTACCCATTTGAGATTCCACATTCTTTACAGAAGCTTGAGTTGAAGCAACTGCTTGTTTAAGTTAGTCAATCTCTTTATTAATGCTCTTCATGCTATTCATTTAGTAAGTCGCCATTTGAGCCAAAGACTCCTCCAACTTTGTTGTACGATCCTCAATTGTGTTTCTTTGTTGTTGGAAACTTGGCTGTGCTTGTGGCCCTTGAGTGGAGGAATTCTTCCAAGAGAAATTTGGATGATTTCTCCATCTAGGGTTGTATGTGTTGAAGTGTGGGTCATTCCTTGGATTAACTTGATCATTACTAGCTCCCATATAATTAGCCTCCTCCACATAGTCACCATCACAACCTGTGTGAAGAGAATTATTAGTAGAAGAAAGGGAATTAACAGAACTAAAATTTTTCAATAATAAATTTAAACTCTTTGTTAAATCATGTAGTTCATGTGAGACATTTGATATAGAAACTTCATTAACCATCGCCTTCGTTCCTTGAATTGCCTTTTGCCTTGAATTTGCTACTAGCATTTTATAAATCTCCTCCCTTTCTTTAGCTGTCATATTACTTGGATCACCTCGAGCTGCATTATTAACTTTTGATTGGCATTCAACATTAAGCCCATCATAAAAAAAATCCATCAAGAGTATGTGTGGAAATTAGTGATGGGGACATTAGCTTATGAAGAGATTATAATGTTCCCATGCCTCATGGAACAATTCACTATTTTGCTGTAAGAAGAAGTGAATCTTGTCCCTTAATTCTGAAGCCTTCTGGGGAGAATAATATTTCAATATAAATTGCTTATACACCTCCATCCAAAGAGCTTATGGAAGTTTTTGGTAATCATAAAAGACATTGACGAGCTTCTCCTTTTAAACATTAAGGAAAGCAACACAGCTTTAAATCATCATCCAATAAATTATTTTGCGATAGTGTATCAATTATCGCATAAAATTCTCGTATAAAATCCAACGCATGTTCAGTTTGGTGCCTGTTGAAATTAGTTAGCGCATTTAAGTGAATATTTCTAAATTCATAATTATGCACTCTGGTACTCAATGGATGCATGACAGATTAGATGTGATGAATGGACATTGAATATCTCTAAATATAATTGATAGCTCTAGAATAGTTGCATCACTCATCTTTTTTCTTCTTTGAGATCTATTTTTCTTGCAAAACTGTTCAATTTCTAGATTAATAGGAATCAAATTTAAGTCACCAAAACTTCTAAGTTGCATAACAAAATAATAAAAGAATAAAAAAATTAAAAATTAAAATTAAAATGAACTAAAAATTAAATAGTTAGTAAATTTGTGACTTCCCTGGCAAAGGTGCCAAAAACTTGATTGCTCTCACAAGTGTATGAGATCATAGTAATAAATTACTCGAAGTATTTAAGGGTCGAACCCACAAGGAAGTTACACTTATACTAATTTAAATAATTAATAGTTCAAGAAGAATAAATAAAATGGATAATTTTGATGAAAATGTAAAGAATAAAAATAAATCAAGAAAATAATGATGATAAAAACACAATCACTTGAAGCGTTGGGGTTTAGGATTCACCCTATATGTTACCCTTTGAGTTGACTCTGATCAATTATAGTGATAACTATTCCTAAAATATCCTAATATTCTCCCGAATTATTAGTCCCTTTCTAATTAGCTTTGAATTCGTTTTTATGATACCCAAGCAACTAATTAAACCATGAAGCTATAGTTTAAATCACCACAAATTTTTAAAATTATCCCTAACCTAGTTATTTATGTCTATTTTTCTAGATCTAGGTTCTCTCTTCATCTCTTAGTCTATCAAGATTACCCATAAATTTGATTAAATGGTAGCCAATCATTAAATCAATATGAAGAATAAGAGAAATAATATAATTAAAAAAAGCAAAAATATTCATAAATATAAATGCAAAGAGTCAAAATAAAGAAAATAGAAAACTAGCTCCCTAATTGAGCTACATCCCTTCCCTAATTGGGTAATTTAAAAATACATAATAAAATCAAATAAAACCATTCTAAAATCTCCAATCATAAAAAATGATCACAAAAAAAATTAAAGAGTAAAAAAGAAATAATTATGATTTATAGAATTCCTCAACAATCTTATTTTCAACTTTTAGAATGCTTCTACGAATTTCAAATATCTTAGAGAAAATTCTTGAGATATTCAGATAAGTGATTGGATGACTCCCCTCTTGATGAAAGGAGTATTTATGATTAAAGTGAAGGTTCTTTCTTTTATTTCTTTTTGATGTGAGTATTTACACACACACACACATATATGTATGATATTATCTTTTCTTTTATCTATATATGATATTATCTTTTCGTTGCCTTTGTTTTTCTTCAACTTCTCTTGCAAATTTCCTCGTCCATATATCAATATAAATAATTAAGTGATAAGTAGATTTTATATTAAATTTTTTTATCTTATAATTAAGTGATGAGAAAAAATATATAAACATTAGTTAAATAGATATAAAATCTTAATAAATATAATCAAATCTAAATCAAAATTCATACCTATTTAATTATAAAATAATCAATTTCAACAATAAAGTTTTTATATTGGTAATGAAATTTAATTTTATAATCTTACGAGCTATAAATTAAATTCTTATCAATAGATTTTTGTTAGTAATAAAGATTGAATCCAGCGTAAGATACGAAAAGAGGAAGGCCCATGATTTAAGGAAGAAGAGACGAGAGAAAGAGAAAAGAACCTTTGGGTGGCAGTGGCACAATCGATGACCAAATCGACAGATTTGGATCCCATATAGTATCCCTACTGCAGTAAATGGGAAGTGGGGATATATGACTGTACATTCTATCTAATAGTTAGGAAAAGAGAGATGCACAAAAAGGCATATCATTTACGAGGTATATAATTCTTTTTTTCTTACTCTTTAAAACCTAATTTTTTCAGCGGGTTATTATGACCCAATTTGTCAAAACTTTTTTTTGTTAAAAAAAAAACAAAAAAAGAATTTTTCATTTGTTCCATTCTTTTTAATTTCTTTGTAAACCAACATGGGGTGGGAGAGAAGCCAAAAGTAGAGATATACGATTTTTGCAGAGTTGTTGAAATAAATTGTTAAAATTTTTCATAGCCTTTTAGGATTTAAATTGTGAAGTAATTTTTTATTATTAAATAAAAATTATTTCATTAGATAAAATCCACATTGCATCGTTTCTATTGTGAAAAAAGTTTTTTTATTGTTAAAATAAAACATAAAAAAAATGTTTCATTAGATAGAATCCATGTTCTGTATCGTTTGTGTGCTTTCACTTAAAAAAAAAAAACCAGACTTTTTATTATTGAAAAAAGTTTATAGTTTGTAAATGATAAGGTTTTCTTTGTACACATATCTCTTTTTAACCATTGAATATAATGCACGGTCAGGATCTCTTTACTTCTCATCCACCACCAAATATACTGTATGGAATCCAAATCCCCACATGGTCTGTCAATGCTTGCCATGAGAAATGGAAGTAGAAATGTAAAAGTAGAATTAGACTAAAATTGGATGTAAAAAGTGTAGTTGGTATGTTAGAAAATCATATGGAATTTAAGTGAGTTTTTTAAATGAAAATAGGTTAAACAATTAAAATTAGAATTAAAAGACACCTTTGCCCTTCATTAAAAAACAGAAAAAAAAGTAGACAAAAAAAAAATAGTGGTCAAGAAACCACCCTCATCTGTGAATTCTCCCAAGGCTGTGAACGTTTGTGCTCTCCGACATTGCTCCTCCGTGCTCTTTGACACTCATTGCTCCTCTGTGCTCCACCATTGCTCTCCGACAATCGTCGCTCCTTCGGTATCCCTCTGCAATAGTGTAGGTGATTGATATTTGATTGTGCAGGCAGGGCTTGTTTTTGATTTGGATAATGGGCAATGTTATCAATAAAATTCATAATTTGGGATATTATTGTCCAAAAAATTTTGGTTATAGAAAACTCATTTTAATTTCATGGGTATACTCAAAAAACTCAATTCCATCAAATGAGTTCTCAGCGGACGTGAGTTTTATCATACCAAACAATTTAATTTTTGGATTCCACTTTTATTTTCACATCTTTGACATCAATTCCATCATACCAATTAGGGCACAATAGTATTTATTGTAAACTAATAATTATTCGCTAATTTGTTTATCATGTCAAGCCTTATTATTTTTGTGCCACCTTTTATTAAAATTCTTTTATGTATAAATTAAAGCCTATTGACAAACCGATCAATGCGGAAGCTAATCAAACTAAATAATTCTATTACTTATTATGGTTTTTTTTTTGTATTTAATCAGAATTAAAATATCAAAAATGAAATTTAGTCAAAAATTGGGAATTTATTAAGTCAAAATTGCATTATTGATAAGGAGTATAGTAGGCAGAAAAAAGAGAGAATACAACAAAGCTTGTTTAAACATGAAATAGCCTTGTTTAGTCACTTACAAGTTTTGGGTTTAAATCTCATTATTAATGTGAAGACTTTAATAATAGACAGAGGCAAAACCAGCTTTAAGAATGTAGGGGTGGGGCAATTTTTTAAAATAAATGTGCATTTAATTTTTTTAAAATAATTTTAGTTAGTTAAAATATACTATTATATGATAATTATTTATAAGTATAATTATACAAGCATTTCAAGAAAACTGAACAAATACAAGATATCATATATTCAATATATTAGTTTTAAAAAAAAATTATACATAATATATAAATGGGTAAAAGAGTAATTTATTTTTAAATTATAAGTTGAATAATATAATCCTAAATTTATTTATTATATAATTTATTTTCTCAAATATAGTGACCTTTCTGTAACATTAAGTAGAGGGAAGCATTTGTTATTTTATACAGGTAGGGCCCACTGATTCGAACACGTGGTACTCGTTAGCAACTGGACACCAAAAAAACAGCACAACATGTTTGAACCAATGGATCCCACCATCATAAAGCAACAGAAGATTCCCTCAACTTATCATTGGGAGAGGTTGTTGCAAATTCAGAAGTTCAGGGAAAAAAAAATGTTTACGACCTTTTTTTTTTTAATATAAGATATTTTTAATTATTTTATATATATTAAAAAAGTTAATTTTTTTATGTCATACAAATTATATATATTTTTATTTTTATTTTTTATTTTAAATAATAATACAATTATATTAAATATCTTTATGTTAATTAAAAAGAGCAAAATTGAAAAACGTAATTTAATTATTATAAAGTGTCTTATTTTTTGAATTAAAATTATTTTTTGAAGGTATTCTATAAATAAAATTGAAGAGAGTATAATAGAGATACGTTTTCATTTGTAATTACATACCATGTTTGATGATTTTTTTTTAATATGTAAAATGATTGTAAATATAAATTAATTTTATCATTGATGATGATTGAGAGAGAAAAAAATAAGAAATTAAAGAGGTATTTTATTTCAAAAATAAATTCATTAAAAAAATGACACATATGTGTTTTTATTGGACTGAACATGGGTGACCTAATGCATGGGATTCATGTAAGAATTTCTATATTCAATATTGATGTCTTTAAAAAAAATTAGGATAGAAAATAATAAATTCTATGAAAAATAAACCAATATATGCATTAAAAATTAAATGTTTGAAAAATTTAAATTATTATCGATTGATATTGTGTTTAAATTGAATAACAAAAATGTTAAATATACAAACATTCAAATAGACAATTTTTATGATGATTAATTCCATGCAATTTAATTAAAAAA